CCTACGTCCCCTAATGTTCCTCCTGCCTCGACGTCGCCGATGGCGGCATCGTTTGTTAACTCCTTTCCCGTAGCTAATTTCGTCCCCATTTACTGCTCGCAGCCTCCTGGTGTCAGTGACAACGGCAGTGACAATCAGGTACTTAAGTGACAATTGTTTGTTTACTTTAAATACATAAGTAGCTATTTTATATTTGCATTGTCTCGTGTTTCAGGTTTCTTCGCAGATCTATGCAATCCACCCCAACGGGTATTCACAACCCACATACGAAAATTTCTATCCTACAGACTCCCCATATTGTGTGTCTCGTAAGTGACACTTCGCTTAACCAATCCAACATCAGTGTCCGTTTCATTGACACGCTATTTTGCCTCCGTGTAGCTTCTGACCAAGAAGTGGATATGAGTGGCAGTAATAATGTCTTCCCGGTTGACCTAAATACTGGTTTTCCAATGCCTCCCGCGGAAATCGTCGACCTAAATACCTATCCAGAAATCTCCGCGGAAGTTGCCGATCTCCCAGACTTCAGTTGGTCCAACTCGAATTCCTATTCCGCAGAGCATAGTCAAAATTGGGTGAGTTGGATGGCTTTTTTCCCCCTCCTCCACTGGAATTTATTGGGGCTTTTGTTTTCACTTTTGTCTAGCTTCAGCCTATCTCATTGTTCACGGACAATCAACAGGAGGCTGAAATAATTCATATGGTTGAGGAGACGTTTCAAGGCGATCCCACCACCAATCTTTGAGGCGCCTCCCGTGTATTGATTCCACCTTCTGGTAGTCTTTCAATTTTTGTATAGTGCATTTTCTACACGTTTTTGTGATACAGTTGATAAATGGCACAAGTGGGTCGTTCTCCAACTTACTGTAATATGTGGGTTGAGGGAATGATAAAAACCCACTGTATTCAATATCATTAAAAGTTTATTTCATAACTAGACGTTGTGTTTTATTGTCACAAGCAAAGGCTGTTTGTCTAGCCTCTCTTAGGGTGGTTTTCCATTTTAATGGAGTTTGTTTACTACTTTTTTTCCTGTTTTTCCATTGGTTAAGTAGTTATTGGGATATTTTAACTTAATCCAAATGAATGAACGAATGCGCACGTATAATAGACCGCAAATTTAACAGTCTTGAATGGTGTCTTGCTTACTATTTAAAGTGCACACTGATAAGTCTGATTGTGAATGCGCCTACCGGTTGTCAACGCTTCGGGCTAGCAGGTTAGACCAAGACTGCATAGTCCATATTCTGGTCACGACACTACACTCATGGCAACAGCAAACGAACCCACTGTAGGAGAGCAGTCCTGCCTGTCAGAAGACATTTATCAAGACGTATCTACGTTGGGAGGCACCACCAAGCCCGGGCGATTTGAAAGCATTCGTGTTGAAGCTGTTACCACGTTGATGTGAGGGTGAACACGTCACGAGGTCAGGTGCTGCCTCCCCACCTTTCTGTCGACTAAAGAGTATTCAAATAAACGGAAACATAGCCTTAAATCGGGGACATGGTCGGGAAACAGGAGTGGTATTTTAAAGTTGCCCCGTGAAGCTACTTTAAACGTCACGAGCAGTTGACTGGCAAATGAAAAACACTCGTTGGTGAAGCGCTGTTAGAGCCACCTCTCTCCTCCTCGTTTGATGGAATTTGCATAAGCCGAGGAAACTTCTGACACCTAGATCAAGTGCCGTCTCCTTGAAATCTCCCCCAAGACTGGATGTGCACCTATGAGGAACTTTGGGGGAGGCGAAAACAGAATGCATGTTCGTTTTATTTGTTTGCATATCATGACTGTTACTTTTGAAATGGTACGAATGAAATTGCGTTTAAGTGCTCGAGTTGTCAGTGTCACCCCTCTTGTACTAACAACCAAAGTGTCAATTTGACATTCACTTAATTTAAGTCTGTCACTAACCAGACCATCGTGAGTAGATGTCTGACACCCTCACTCAACATCCTTTCCATCTCTTCAACTGTAAAATTTGTTTGCTTTTACCCCTAGTATCTCTGGGTTACCGTTTGTCCTCCCACTGATTGCTACCATGGTGAATTAACCCGTTGGATTGTAGTCATTCTTAGGGTCACCTCTAAAACCGTGAATGCGACACACGAAGTGGTTGAGAGGCCATAAAAATGGACGGAAAGTCAAAATTAAAGGTCAGTTTACTAGACCGTTGTGACAATTTAGCTACGTGGCTTCCCTCTTGTGCGTTGTTCCTGGGCTACTTCTCTTTCCCTCCTCACCTTATCTCACGGATCCGTCGTGCCTCTTCCGCGTCGGCTGTAAACCACGAGACAGAATCAACAGTGACTCGATGAATTGGCCTATTTTATCGTTAGCGGGATGGGGAAGGGAGCTTCTGAATACACTTAGATCTTTACAGAGCAGTTTACCTTGGAGAGGCTGGACGAGGCTCTACGATGGACGAATTTGTGTGCAAATTTTCTGGTATTTCCTCTTTCTGGCCAGCTGACTACACACTGATGAACATTATCCTTTGGCGGAGGACAACTGTTCCGATTTATTTGGACAGAGACAGTCACATGACGTGACTATTTATCACCTCCACCTTGTGTCCACAAGACCGCAATGGGAGGGGGGGGGGGCGGAATTCCACGCATTTGATGGAGGCTGTTACCGGTGTAACAAACTTACGTCTCGTGGCTTCCCCTTCCACCCCTCTTTTCCAAGCCTATTGCCTTGGTATCAAGCCGCCTTAGTTTTTCATGATCTGCGCCATTGAGACTTTATGGCGTCTCGTCCGTACTCATCGTCCTTCCACCCCTCTTAGATGCGGCAACAGCGAGCCTCATTAAGCAAGTGCACTTTATTACCTTCTTGAGGGTGAACGTGACACTACTGAACTCTGCGGGCGACTAAGTTCACGGAGAGTCACAACAGTCACGTCAATCTCGTGGTCGATGTTATCAATGTTTTAAAGTGACTGTCAAAGGGGTTTAGGTCTATGAAGTGGATGAAGAGGAGTACCTCTCCTCCCCTCCTTTCGGAACAATTCTTACCTGTCTGTGGGTGATGCGACAGAACAAACAGCCTGTTTTCGATCTCCACTACGTTGTCATTGGCGTGCCGTCTATAGCCTCAGCGTCTCACCTCGAGGGGTGGTCCGAGGTGCCGCACTCTCACCTGCGTTCGGTAGCTACAGTGACCTTAATGACAAGTCGATGCCTCCTCCTCTGAACTGCAATCTTCAAATCTTCCCAACCTTTCGGTTAGGGGCCTCAGTTTACCATTACGAAGGCAGTAACATGTTTAACGCTACTAGGATCACTTTTTAATCCTTAGGCTCTGGAATACGTCGTACACTTTAGATGGGCGTTAAAAAACGCGCTGACAAGTTTTATTCCCTCGGATAGAGGTGCTTCGTGAGGGCTTATCCCCCTAAAATTCATTACTTAATGTAATTTGGTTAAAGTAATAATGACCCGGTGGATAACCTCTTGGTGAACTCACACTGGTTCCACAGTCTGCCCGAGATAGCATTCAACCAATGAACTACGAGCTGATGCTAGGCGGCCAATCCGAAACCCGAAAAAATTAGCCAATGGAAATGCTCAGAGCTGGAAGAATTACAATAATCAGTTCTAATTACCGCTTAAAGGTGATCAAAAGAAATATTAGTTTTATGGGTAGTCTTGAATGGTTTTGCAGATCTAACATTGTCTTGCTCATGATATTCCAATCAATCCAAGGGTCTGAGTTTCGTTGAACTTATCAACCATCAGAAACGTTAGGATAAAAACAAGCCTAAAGGCGAATTGATCCCTCCTATGGCTATAACTTATCCACAAAACGTCGGCTGAATAGGACGCGCATCTAGGAAGTACCCTTTTGATAAATACTATCTCAGCATTCCCCAACCAATTAAAGGCGACCCCATCCAATGTGAGCCGAACATGAAAGCGGACTCCTGGACCATTTCGACCAATAAGGTCCACAGTGGCAAGTCCGCGTCTTGGGATACAATGGTGTAGCTTTAAATGTCTTGAAAGCGCTACTTGAAACGGAAAACGAGTCTATTTGTTACCTTGGTACAGAGATAGTTGCGATTGGCTATTACCAGTGCCTACTGACACGTCTTTGTTCTTTCTTTAAAAAAGAGGAGAAGTAAATTATGACAAATAATCCTGACAACTTCATATCAACAAAGTACAAGACTACCTGATGTAAATACGCCAATCAAAATGCCCGAAGCAGGAAATTAGTAACCAATTAACGTTACGGAGGCGATTCCCCGAAGACTATTGGTTAAGGCTCATTAGCCGAATAATCTTATTGATTAAGTATGATTAAAAAATTCACTTAAAGGACAAAAATTTTTAGTTGTATTATTGATTCAAAACCGTTATGCTACCGATGTGTTTGATTGTATCTTCAAACATTCAAAAGTATTTCTAAGTTTGAACCAGCCTGAAATACCACTTGCACGCATGGGGCTCCGGAATGGACTTTTAACTATTTAAAAGTACAGCTAGTCTTATTGGTTGGCTGAGATTTCACCGAAGCCATTGGTGTCACAGATTTAAATAGCAGCCAAAAATAGATAAAAATTGAGATGCATTATAACTCGAGAAGACAGCTGGAAGTCCTGGCATTGAACGAATCGGAGCTTTTTGTTTACTACATGACATTGCTTTTAACAACTGCCTGGGAGACCCATACACACTGTCGCGGGCAGGCGTCACCACCAAAGGAAACAAAAAATAGTCTCCTCTCTTCCTGCCTCGCGCCTACAACACTTGATGACGATGTAATCCGTATCGGTCGTAAAACAGCAACACTTTAAAGTCGGCTTATAAGCTGCAGATTTTTTCCAGCCTTTTAAAACAAAATAAATGGTATATGGCTGTAAGATCGGCCATTTTCCGGCATCTAGTAAAAGCCGATGACGACTCATTCATTTCAATAACGAAAGTATGGACATTTGTAAAGATTTTTTTTCTGTTTTTCCCCCACACTAGACACTCAGGTGAACCCATCACCTAATTGACAACAGTAGAAGGCATATTCATGCTCTCCAAGGTCTCTTCCACCTCCTCATTCTCCCACAAATGTGGACGGTATGAATTCACATTGACGTTCGCCTCGCCTTGCATCTCCTCGTCCCCCTCCTCATACCTCCAATCACTTAGCAGCTCCTCAGTTTCAGGCTTCTTCTCGTCGCCTAGAAATGTGTGAATTTTTGCCTCATAGGCATCGTCACCCCTTACCACAATGCCATGCATCAGGCCGCCTATCGCTGTAACTATGGTATCAAATCCATCAAATGTCACAGTTGATCCACGAGCTCGTTTTATCACCTTTCCTATCTCTCCCTCCAGTGTAGTATGCTCGCGCATTTGGGTGATTCTCTTCTGATACATTTGGTACTTCCAAAGAGGCGCGATGTTTAAATTAGCAAAGTAATGATTCACCCGACGAATCTCTACCATGGGATCATGGTAGACGTAAGTGCTCTCGGGTAGCTGCAAATTTACTCGTTTATTGGTAAAGTGGCTAAAGAACTGCCGAATTATCATGTGATTTTCAGTCTGGACAGCGAGAGATTTATGCTCGGACAGTCTGGTGACATTGCAATCGATTAGGTCAAAGTACACCCAGAAGAGGTCATTACCCAATCGAACTAGAAGACGAGCCTTATTCTTGTATTCCTCTGAGCAGGGCATTCGCAGACGCTCCATTGTAGAGCGCACCTCCTTGGTAATGGGATGGCGAACTTTTTTGATAGAGAGCGGTGGAATCCTTACCTTCAGGATAAAACCATCAGTATTAATGTAAATGAAACCAGTGTTGTGAGTTTTTTCAGGTCTACTTATGCTATTTACACCCTTTTTGGGAGTAATCGGACTTGAGATGTACACCTGAACCGGTGGGGCCGGTTTCTCCAACATCGTGCTCTCAATTAGGCTAAATTTGGGTCGTTTAACTGCCACGTAATTCAGTTTGCCTGGATCTTCGTACACCTTCATGCGCGAAGTGATCTGACTGATCTTTTCATTCTGAGTTGGAGGTGAATTTCGTGGTAGAATGAAGAGGGGCTCAAGCGTAGCATTTTCAGCTGTAAAGGTGACTCGATATTTGACACCAATGCTTGACGTGACATAAATGTAACTGGTCAAGTCATCAACTGTTTCCTCCTCCTCCTCCTCCTCCTTCGTATTGCAGTACTCCCTATATAAGTCTGATTTTGGTCCACAGAGGAGACGATTCCCACTGCCAATCCTCATCGTTGCAAATTTTGATCTAACATAGGAGGGTAAAGATCGCCTGGAGAAACTTCTTCTTGATCCC